AGCGGGAACCGGTCTGTATGTGGGATCCGAACCCTCGGACGGGAGCGCCGCCGCGCTTCCCAAGCGGCGCACTATCCAGTGCGCCACCGGGCCGGCCCGAGAATGGAAGTTTTAATAGAAGTAGAAATGAGAAAGGAGAGAATAGGTGAGTTTTAAGTCACAGGCACTTTAGAGAACTGGGTAGCCCTTGGTAGCTAAAAGTTGCTTGGAGGCCTGGGGTGTTTGCAAATGGAGTTGGAGTAAGCCTAACCGCTTGTTTTGAAAATTTCTTGAAGACTGGCCCTGTGCCTAGGAAAACAGGAAGAAGCTTTCTACTTCCTCCTACTTGTTGCATACTTGTTTCCCCAGAATAGAGAATTTAGGTTCCTTGATTGAGTCCCTGGCAAAGAAGCTTCTTTATGCAAGTGCAAGCCAGTTATGTTGAAAAAGCACAAACATACATGAACCACGGTTTGTTACATAAAGTAAAAATGCTTTTGTTTTCAATTCCTTGTCAAAGAGCTCTTTCATTCCTTGTGTGTGCAAGCGTTTATGTGCGCTTGCTTAGCTACAGGTCAACGGTGCTGATGCCAAGCAAAAGCTAGAACCTCAGTTTTACCTTCTGTATCCTTTCCCTTCTCTTGTGAACCCATGAACCCATTCCTTGGCCTTCCCTCTCCCTATCCCTTTCCAGATGGCTGATACTCCTCTCCCAGAAAATGAGGGAGCTGGTATCACTTTTTTACACTTGCTTGATTATACAAGGGTACTTCAAAAAAAAAAAAATGGAAAAATAGAATTCAAAGATCATACAAATCTTAATACAAGTCTTTCCATGAATTTTGAAGCACTCTTTTCATTTAACCAAAGACCCACAGTCTTATATCTGAAGCTAGCCTTGCATTTTATGTCTTAGTGAGAGAAGGGGCTAAAATGACTCATTTCCTGCCATCTGCAAGTAGATGAACAATAGCTGGGGAGAAGGGGAGCCATGAAAAGGGCATCAAAAGTGATGGATGCATAGTCTATGCCCAATGCCTGACTCCTGACTGGAGATTGTGATTCAGGAGGCAAAGCAATGGGTCCTTTTCACCAGCCACTAACAGGACCCTGCCACATCTTGACCCCTCTCCACCAGGGAGACCTACCCTAGCACTGCATAGTAACTTCAACCAATTTAACCCAAAGAAAGATGGCCATGTTTTCTGTAAGTGGATTGTTGTCTTAAGAGTGTTTGTTTTAATCAATAATCCTTTTTTTTGAGATTGGTAATACATCCCTCTGTTTCCTATGTAATTTCTATCTCTGATGATAGTGTCTAGTAAGTACTGGATTGTATCCTTTTTTTTTTTTTCCTTTTTTGTCTTTTTTCGTGTCCGGCAACGGATCGCAACCCTCAGTGTCGCACCCGTACCGGACCGGGACCGGCAACGGGATCGCAACCCTCGGTGTTGCTCCCGCACCTCGCTCAGCCAGTGAGCGGCCGGTCTGTATGTGGGATCTGAACCCTCGGCGGGAGTGCCGCCCCGCTCCCAAGTGGCGCACTGTAGCAGTGCGCCACCGGGCCGGCCCTTAATCCATGCATTTTAACATTGGGAACTACCGGAGAAAGAAGGGGAGACTTAAAGAGGCGGTGGGCCC